ATAGATTTCTGAACCAAATTCATTCATTATTCACATTTCCAACTAGAGAAAAGCCATTTTCTCTCTCACGGATCTTCGGGTTTTCATCCCAAATCGTGAGTACACTTCTCTAGTTGTTATTTAATGCTTGTTATATGCTTAATAACATAGATTACATGTCAAATATGTGAGATTCGGGAGTTTACCGCCCAAGAACGTTCTTGAGGAGTAAACTCCAAAACGAAGCTTAAAGGCTATCTAGTCCCATTTCCTTGTTAGGTAACTAGCTTAGGATAATATGTATGTACATTAGAGACTAGAAAACAATCAAAAACACATAGATTAAGGAGTTCACAGCCCAAGAATGTCTTAGGCCGTAAACATCAAATTCAAGGGCTTAAATGTGCCCTAATCACTCCTAAAGGCCTTAGACTTTAATCCTCAATTACTTCTAGCTAATTTGGAGACATTAACACATCAAAAACACCCCTTAAAGGGAGTTTACGACCAAGGAATGCCCTTAGGCCGTAAACTCCAAATAAGGGCACCAAAGTGTGCCTAGGGTCCTCCATAGCCTTAAACAAATGCCTAGAAATTATCCTATTTGTGTTTGGGACTTGAAAGAATTAAAACACCCATCCCATGAGAGTTTACGGCCGTAAACTCTAAGGGATATGGTCTTTTGGCCGTAAACTCCTCAAAGGAGTATTATCTATGCCCTAAACTACCCAAAGGATTAAACCACCAAGCTAGGCTTATTCTAGAAATCATTTAGCACTTCAAAACACACATTACCACCAAGATTGGAGTTCACGGCCGTAAACTCAAGGGTTTATGACCGTAAACTCCTTGTGTGGGGTTTATTGGGTAGTAAACTCTTATATAAAGCCCTTTGGTACATTAAACCCCTTTAGCCTTGTCCCATAGCAACTTAGATGCAACCATTAGGACCTATAACACTTATACAAAGTGTTTACATGTTCCTGAGTGTCCCAACTTATTTCATTAAGTTATTATTTGGCTAATTAGTTATATATATGCTCATTATATGATAACTAGGCTCATGCGTGTGAACAAGTCTCCGTTTGCCACCTAGCACGGTATCCGACACTTCAATCCAATCCACTCACCACAAGTGAGTTCGTACCCCTTTAATTAACCTTTGAAATACTTTTAAATGTTTTAAATACTTTTATGGGGGGGGGGGGAATACAAGTTAAATGCTTATAGTTATTGCATCAATCACATGTGATTACATTAATCACATGCGATTAATAACTAGAAGACCAATGATTTTATCACTGTTCAAACTGTTTATCAAACTGTTTTACTTCAAAATATTTTACAAACTCTTTTACTTATCAAATGCTTTTATTAAAATTTGTTTTACTTCTTATAAATTGCATGCCCATACATGTATAGATATATAAGAAATGTTTAAAGGGCTTAGGAAGGCCATCCGCCCTATTTCCTTTTTCTCGATTTGGATGTGGTTTGGTGGGATTTCGGGTAACCGTCCGAAGGTCGTTTCAATATTAGTTATATATCAAATATACATATATAGACATAAAAGTACTTCCATATTCATACTTATCAGTACATCATCAGTAAGTTACCATCGGGGTAACATAGGATCATACTACTACAATTTCTAGATAAATGAGTCAGTTCATTCATGCGTTAATACTTATTACTACGAGTACTTATACAACTACACTAGAAAGAGAACATATACAACTATACTAGACAGAGAACATATACAACTATACTAGAGGAAGAACATATACAACTATACTAGAACAGTTCATTACATTACATATACAAGAATACGTTAACAATTGTGATCCACAGTATCGGAGCATGCCTTAAATGTCATGGCCCGAGTTGTAGCCAGAATTCTCTTGGAGGGAGAGCGTGAGTTTGCGTATAGATCTATACTGGATTGACTATCCTACACCTTGCTGCTAGCTACAGCAGGACCTGCAGGTCCGCGGGTGCCAAACGTCATTCCGTTATTACGACCATTTGTATGTCGTTGTTACCAGTCGATAGTATGGTGCAATTTATCACATGATACCTTAATATAAATCCGGTTTAAGGTAGTTAGTACAGCAGTAGTTCCTATAATATAACACTACAGTACTACAATAATTTACCCATTACATACTTTTAGTGATTGTTTCACTTAAACTTTAATGTACAAACTATATTTTGTTAAATGATAGTTACACTTGGGAAATTACACACTTTTACAACAAACGAGCATACAAAACAGTTAAGCCTTGGTAGAAGGCTACTTTAATAGAAAATATAGGTTTTTCTGAGAGATTCAAACTTGTACAAACACTTACAAACATTTACTTACATTTTACAAACTTACACTTGAGACATGTTCAAACGTTTTTGGATGACAAATACCAACACTAAAATACTTATGAGCTCACCAGCTTAATGCTGATAAACTCTTTCAAAATAACTTGTATTCTCAAGTCATCAGTAGACAGGTACCGAGGCCAGCTTTTGAGAAGATGGAGCGCATCCAAGACTCATCTTATTATTTTGATTTACATTATTTTTGGTGTCTATAACTGTACAGAACACGCTTGTATTAAAATTATATATTTAATGCAATGGATGATGTTGTTTGCTTATTTACATTTACTGTGTTGTGATACTTTACATGACGTCCTCCGCCCCAGAACGTTTCCGCCGTTCTTGGTTTTGGGGTGTGACACCTGGTGAGCACATAGGGTTTTCAACCCACAATAAATAAGTTTATTAATTTCATCAACCAACAATAACACGATTACCCATTCCCATTATCCTCACATCACGTCCCTAAAACACCTATCATAAGGGACCTAGACTAAGGATCAATCATCAGGATGGACACTAATGCTAAGGGGATTCTTCAGCACTAAATGTCCTTTAAGGCAACCATGTGGGGGATGGAGTACACCGATGAACACATCGTTCACAAACACCTACAAGTTGCGAGTCTGCTAGCGTTCCATTGGACTATCTAGAATAGTCCGTGGTTGTCATCCATACTCCGCTAGATGACAGTATCAACAACAACAACAACAACATTGAGGCCTCTCATCATTTTATCACACGTCGTCTTGGTACATTTACCCATGTTTTACCCCTATCATTTTTTGTAGATATAAAATACATATACAGTTAAATCATTTAAAACATGTATAAAATCATTCATCCAACATAGACAACAAGTATTCAGATAATATGCACACCTTGCATGTAATTTATATATATTACTTCATATTTACGTGTAAGATGAAAGTAACTATGCACTCACGTATCAAGGTGGTGATTCCGAACTTAGACAACGGTTCGTTACTCTTGAAACAATTTCCTTCGTCAAAACCTAGTATCATTACCACTAGGGTTTAGTCTATCATTCACCGAGACTAATTAATAGTATAGCTATTATTACTATTATATAAGCGTTAAACAATACTTATATAAACCATAATAATAGCCCAAGTACTTATTATAAGTTCCTAATAATGTTACTATAATTAATTAGAAGTTATATTAAAAAATAGCATAGGCGTAGCTCACTTACAACCGGTTTTTATAGAAAACCGGACTTCGCTTGGAGCAACGTTTCCGAACCAAAAGACCCTTTTTCTTGGGACTCCGGGACTCTCAGGGCTTCCTTATGGTGCTTGGAGGTTCACCTAAGCTTTAGGGGGGTAGAATAGGCTAGAGAGAGAAAGTATTTAGAGAGAGAGTGAATAAAAGTGTGATTTCCTCAGAACATCTCGCACCCTTTTATAGGGTCGGACTTCGGTGGTACGCTGGGCGTAACCTCAGAAAAGGCTTCTAGCTGGTCTTCGTACGGGACACGTGCCGCTTCGCTGCTGGGTCATTTTGGCTCATTTTAGTTCGCAAAAGGCAGCTGTACGCGAGGCGTACCCCTTCCAATGTGGGGCGCACTTCGAACGTTGGGTGTCCCATCTCTACGCAAGGCGTAGGCTCGCACTCAGCTTCGAGAATTTCCTTTCCAACTTCTAAAAATCATAACTCTCGCATACGAGCTCTATTTTCGATGTTCTTTATATCCACGTGTAGGCGGGAACGTACTCTACAACTTTCGTTTAGACTCCGTCGGCTAATTTTGACTTTATTTTAAATTTTATATTTTTAACAGGCTGAGACAGGATTGGTCTGTTAAAAATCCACAGCTTCTTCATCCGACGTCTGTTTTCGTCTGTCTTTTATCGTTACGCTACTATTAACGAGATCTTCGATTCTTTTTTAGGTTGTGTCGGCTAAAAACTGCTCGATCTAGTATTCGAACTTTGGGCTGTACACTACTAAGTCGAAACTTCGAAAAATCATAACTTCCTCATACGAAGTCAGATTTGGGCGTTCTTTTTATCGGCGCTCTCGGTTTAACATATTCTAAGACTTTCATTTAGATCGCTAAGGCTAAAAGTCGTTCTATCGTAGATTCACTATTTACGCTTCCCGGTGCTATGTCGGTTCCGTCGCGAAACTTCGACGGGTCATAACTTCTTCGTTATAACTCGGATTTCGACGTTCTTTATATCCCCAGAATCCTTGTTTCGACCACTAAAACTTTATGTAAAGATATAGGACTTATCTCATACTTTAATTTTGACTCTTATTTTTGTTCGTTATTAATTATATCTTTATAATTAAGTTATAAGCACACAAATACACATAACTCTCATAGTACTCAAATATTTCATCTTTATTACTTCAAAAAGACTTACAATAGTTGACCTAGACTATTACATCATCTAAAATGCTTAGCCCTGAAACCAAGGCGTTACAATTTGTAAATCAAAAAAAATATTAGTGTCAAAATCTTAATAAAGAAAGACTGTAATTAGGAATCAAAACTTGTTTTAGCAATGGACATCGTCTCTTGTTGTAACCTTCTCGGTGACAATTACCACATTTTGGAATGCCCCCCTTCTTGCTAAGATTATGTTTTCCTTCTTTTTATGTAGGGAATTTATTTCTGTTCACTTTTGGTCTCCAGGGCATGGTGGCAAGATGCTTTGAATACATGTTTCCGGCCACATGTTACCTCCATTAGTTGGTTCCATGTTATACCTATAGCAACTTCCAAACATATTCGTTGTGAACCAAACTGCCACATACTCCTCTGCATTCCCATTGAAAAACAAGATTGCAGCAATGCCATGTACACATGGTATATCAGTCAGTTGCCATACTCTACACCCACAGGTTCTTTGGTCCAAGTCAATTGCATAAACCCCATGCAATTGTTTCACTTCATATATTCGCGGACCACTTAGAGTAACATCCCAATACCTATGATGAAATGGTATAAAGTAATTTCTAATAAAAAAATGCATTACAAGTATTATACCTCTGTTGTTCTTTGAATTTCTCAGTCCTCCTTCTAATGGAAGGATATATATCCAAGTTCCATTTTTTCCCCTTTTATTTTTTGTTAATACATCCTCTTTATCACGTACACTCTGACTTCTTCCAACATTAATATTATGGGGTTTTTCTTGGCCTATACAACTGCTAAATTGAAAGATTCTGATATTCCATTTTACACGACATCACAACACCTATCAAGCTCAAAAAATGCCTTGCACCATGTCTTTGGGTCCCTTTCCATTAGGTGATCATAAGCATGCGTGGACATTGTATTGATTTCCCTCATATAATACTCGGTTGTGGACTTTGCTCTCCATAATAACTTCCTAAACTCAACACATGTGTATTTCTTCTTAAAGTTAGCATAGATGTGTCTAGCACATTGCCTATGCTCACATGTTGGTGCTCTTTCTTTAATAACTTCTAGCAAACCCTGCCAGATGAAAATATTAACATTAAATATAAAATAACATATAAATAAACATATAAAGCACTAAGTTATGTATTTATAAGAACAAACCTAATGTTGGTCAGAAATAATGGTAAAACCTCTGTCATCTCCCATCCCAATATCCTCAAGTAGTAGATCTAAGAACCACATTCAGGTTTCCTTGTTTTCTACTAACACTACAACCCATGCCAGAGGGTACATTTGGTTGTTGGAGTCCCTACCAACAACTGCTAATAGCTCTCCTCTGCAAATACCCTTCAAAAAACACCCATCAACACCAATCACCCTCATGTATACTTTAATCCAACCTTCTTTCATACCCTTCAGGAAAACATACATTCTTTTAAAGTAAGTTGTAGAATCGAGCATAGGATTCACCTCTATTGAGACTGTTGAACCCGGATTAGACCTCATAACTCCGCACCATAATCCCATAACTTTTCATAGTATCCTACCAAGCTGCCTGAAATTTCATCTAGTGCAAAACTCTTGGCATTTCTACATTGCCCAACACTTACATGCAAACCAAAATTTTTCTTAACTAATGCTACCATGTTCCTGTAGCTGAAGCAGGGCTTTTCCAAAATGTCATTGGTTAACATTTTACCAATCCACCTGTACGTCACAATAGACCCCAACTTAACTTGTCTGCAATAGTTATGTTCATCAATTAGCGATTTGATCTGGAATGAATTTTCACTACTCATTGGAGTAACCCATAGTCTAAAAGGGCAAGCTACCTTTCCTTCTTTATTTTTACAGCACCTCGCTAACAATCTAGTTGAGTCATTTTTTTCATACCACAATGCATAACCTTTAAAGACAGTATAATTTGTTAACATTTTCTAGAGTTTATATATGTCAGAGAATCTCATGCCTAATACAGGTACCATTGTGTCCTATTTCTAGTTGGGATCATGGATAGGAAAGTGGTGGACCTCATCATCAACTTCATCATCTATTCCTCCTTATGGAATAATATTTTTCTTGGATAAAAAAGGATCAACAAATTTAGGAATTTCTATAACCTCATCATCAGCTTCATGGTCTACCGATATATCATCTAACATGGCCGAGTCCACATAATCAAAACATGGATCACTATCATTGTACAATCCATCTTCGGCTATCTCTTCTTCAATCCAGTGCATAAGTGGCTCGTCGTCGTGATCAATGTAGATACTGATTCTTCTCCTATTTTTATATCCAGCATCCAGAAACCTCACATAATCATCTTCATCTCTCATCTCCCTCAACTCATCTACTATGTCCCGATTTGGAAGACAATATGCATATCATGACACATACCCTTCGTTAAATTACGGATGTAGATAATGAAGTCCTTAAACTCCATGTTTCGTAAGTCCATCCCCGTGACAGAAGTTGTAACATACATGTTTTGAAATCGTGTTTTGTAAATGTTAAAGAGTAAATAATATTATGAAATATTATGTGATTTTGAGTGTTGAGTTCTAACAGATAGTTTTTACTAGAAAAAAAAAAGTAAAACTATGTTTAGAATCACTCGGAAAATATTGGAAGTATTATGAGATTCCAATATAATATTGAAATTTAACGAAAATATAAAATTTGAAATAAGTAAAATTTTATTATTGAAAGTTTTAGAGAATCTCGTTATAAACATTTAGGCGAAAACCTCATCGAAATTCGAGTTACAACGAAGACGTTATAACTATTTGAAGTTTCGCGACAAAACCGGCACGACGCAGAATGACGTAAAAAGTGAGTTTTTTATAAACTACTTTTTAGCCTATATGATCTAAATGAAAGTTGTAGTATTTATTTGTCACACCCCGAAAACCGATGGCGGAAACATTTCCGGGGCGGACTCCACGTTGTGTATCAAATCCAATGCACATAGTAAGTAAAGTAAAACAACCATTACATTACATATAGAAATTTACATTTGATCAAAAGTAAAGTTGTACAGTGTTTATACATATGTATATATAAACAAAAACAAGACGTGTCTTCAACGCACTTTGTCTTCGCCAAAATGGATCATCGGGTACCTGTCTAATGCGGACCTGAGAATACAAGCAGTTTGAAAATCAGCATAAAGCTGGTGAGTTCATAAGCGGTTTTGTTCTGTGAAAATGTACGAGTTTCCTTTCTGGTTTCTGAAAATGTTATGACCCAAGAAAATCCCATATTTTCTTAAAAGTAATGTTTGGTTAATTGTTAGGTTACACTGTTCTGGTTATGCTCAACTGTGATCCCAGGAAAATCCCATATTTTCCTAATATGAAAGATGTATACTGAAAACCTGGTTATCCTTGTAATGTATGTTTTAGTTTACCAACGCAAATGTAATGTAAAAGATGTACTCACCGAACCAAAATGTAATGTAAAAGGTGTACTATGAAAATGTATTAGTTTTAACACGTTTATAAAACTAACATATACCAAGTAAACTAGTTACTTAATCCATTATTACTATTATGTAAATCTCTGTTATCCAAATTGCGAGTTCCATAACCATACAATAGACTAATTAGGGCAATAAATAGTCCATCACCCTATATGACTTTCGTCACCCTTGAACCTTTCGGTTCGGCTGTAGCTAGCAGCCAGGTGCGGGGTAGTCAGCCCCGTATAGATCTATACACTCAAGTCACGCTCCCTATCTAAGAGATTCTGGTTACGGGGGTGGTCCTCCACTCGTGTATCTCTGTGGAGTGTTCACCGAGGACGTGTCTCCAATTATAGGATTAACAAATTTACTAGTAATAATACCGAAAGATCAATTGACTATCCTCCACTTGCGTATCTCTGTGAAGTGTTACCGAGGACAAAACCATGTTCAAATGTTTAAGTACTATGCTTTTAACTGATATAATGTAGGAAAACATTTGTGAAAATATAAATACAACAATTTATAAGGTATTTCACAAATAACATGATATTGTGTTCTTGTAGGTTCAAACGGTTGTTTGTTACGAGTGTCAGTGTTAAAAGCATGTATAGTATGAAACACAATGTATATAAAACAAGTTTTGAGTACAAGTATCACTTGTACTTTTCTTGTATTCCCCCCTGAAAACAGTGAAAACATTGAAAATGGGTAGGGGTATGAACTCACCAGACGAGAAAACGCGACGGTTTGGATGCTATGTGACGGTTCGGGGCTTGATTACGCACGAGGTTCCTATGTAATATGAAATGATATGCAATTATATCTAATTAGACTTCGAACCACTAGTTAGACATGAATATGCACTCCAAGACGTGAAAACACTTCAATTCAAGTGTTAGGAGTGATCCGGGTGACATCTATGGATGAATAGGACCTAGATATGGAGTTTACTCTTCAAAAATAAACTCAATGAGGATTTTGCGGCCTATTGACCATTTTACCATGAGTTTACGGCCGTAAACTCATGGGTGGTGGGTTCTTGGATGCCAAATGGTCATACAATGCACACGGGAAGGTTCTAGGGTCGATTCCATGGCTTAGGAAGTGATCGGGACTTGGAATGGCATTGGAAATGAGTTTAAAGTCTAAGGAGATGTTCTTTGGGAGTTTACTACCTTAAACTCATGAGTTTACAACTGTAAACTCATGTTTGTCCATGAATCAAGGGCTTTGGTGGTTGAAGGTTAATCACATGTGATTCTATGTCCAAAACCAAGTTATTTAAGGGGTTAAAGGCACCTTAACACCCTTTGAGGGGTGTTTACAACCTAAGGAGGTGTGTTTACGGTCCAACAATTTTCTTGGACCGTAAACTCAAGTTTATCCCATTTGATGATGATTTGGTGCATCACATGAAGGTTTATGAGGTTCTACACTCCCATGGAAGCATTTTGAAGGTGTTTAAGGGTATTTTGACTCATTAACATGAGTTTATGGTCCATGAATGAGGGTTTACGGTCCAAGAACATGCTTTGGCTGTAAGCTCATGTCCATACATCATATGTTATGATTTTGGGCTCCTAAGCTCATGCATGCTAGTTTCTAGGCCGAATCTACGCCCTAGAAGTGTCTTGGAGGGGTTTTGAGGCTTCAAAACCCTCATATGGGGTGTTCACGGCCTAAGGGGGTTCCTAGACCGTAAACACTTGTTTGGTCTCATTCCTCATAAAAATTCCGAATTTGAAGGTCTAAGATGCTAATTCATGAGTTAGGGAAGTTACCTTAGTGATTTGGAGCTTGATTTGGATGATTTTGGCAAATTTTTGGATTTTAGAGAGAGAGTAGTGAGAGAAAGTTTTTAGAGAGAGAGAGTAAAAGCCTCAAAATGATATCACTCAATCCCTTATATAGGAGTTGAGTTTGTGGCCTGGTGGAATTCTACCCGATACTGCCGTTAGACGGTGCTTTTGGTCGTACTCGATTAGGTTGTCGTAAACCCGATATGGTAAATTCTAGAAATATTCCGATCACTAATATGGGGTGTTAAAATGATTTCTAATTGTATTAAGACACCCATTAAGTCATTTTAGATCAATACAAAATAATGACTTAATTAACCGGTGAAATCGGAAATCGGATTTGAAAACAACGATTGGTTGCTTGAATCGGACTACGAAAAGAGTTACAAGAAGTGGTACGGAATTTCGGGTTGTTACATTATTAAACCGAGAACTTTCATAAAAAGAACTTCCAAAACTGATTTTGTATGAAGAAATTATGATTTTTCTAAGTTTTAGAATAGCAGTAGATAGCTAAAAACTCGAAATAAAGATCGAGTGAGCTTTAGCCGACAAAACCTAAACGCAAATCGAAGATCTCACTGATTGTAGTACAACGGTAAAAGGATAGACGAAAACGGACACCGGATGAAGAAGTTATGAATTTTTAACGGACTTATCCTGTCTCGACATGTTAAAAATATAATAATAAAAATAAAGTCAAAATTAGCCGATGGAGTCTAAACGAAAGTTGTAGAGTATATTCTCGCCAACGTGTGGATATAAAGAACATCAAAAACGGAGCTCGTACACAAAAGATATGAATTTTCAAAGTTTTTTAAATAAAAATAAAGGAAAATTCGAAGCCTTATCCAAAGGAGTACGCTCAGCATTCGTATACGGGGTCAGAATCTGGCCACGTCTCTCTCTCTCTCTCTCTCTCTCTCTCTCTCTCTCTTCACATAAGGCACGCGTATGGGATAAGATCGCCACATCCGAGACCTGGGTTCCGATCATAGGACACGCCTCGCATGTACGCCCCGTGTACGAGGTTTATGCCCCGCGTAGATGGCCGCCTCACGGTACGCCCAACGTACGGAGGACTTACACCCAATGTAGTCAGCAACTTTGGTCCGCTATAAATAGAGACCGAGGATCTCCAGAATTATGCTACAAATTCTTATTTCCTTTCACTCTAAAACCCCTTTTAGCCCACTTTTAACCCCCATAAGCCCCGATATCATTCCTGACACCCAAAGCAAGTCCCTACACTCTGAAGTTCCCGAGAAAATCATATTTTTCTAGCCGAAATTCTACCTAAGTAAGGCTGATTTTCAACTAAAATCCCCGGTTTCATCGTAGAAAGTCATATTTAGAGTCGAAGTGCTGCCCAAATTATCATTTATTCCCCGATTATTTCACGGTGAGTTTCAATATTGGGACAATTGTATGCTATGTGCTATATTTTCAATGTGCTTTCCCATGTTATTATGATAATGAGGTATACCATAGGCCACGAAGTGTATGACATAAGCATCACTTGGGTACTGGTATGTAGCCTTTGGCCATGAAGTGTATGACATATGCATCACTTTAGCATATCAGAATACAAAGACATGGTTGAAAGCCTGTGTATTCTAGTGAAAAGATATTCTGAAATTATAGTTTCTTCGACACTTGGGGCTGAAGTCTTATTGTTGTATATCAAGTGTGGAAAATTATGATGTCTCACTAAATTCAAAATTTTGAATCTGATTATTTGTTGTTGTGGAAAGCATGTCATATGATGCTCATTTGCCCATCTTGTTCCTTGTCCCTCTTTGCTTCAGTCATATTGATATGTATATGGCATAATGTTATATTGTAACTGTTATTGAACTCACTAAGTGTCACCCGCTTATCCCTCTCAATGTTTAAAACTATTGCAAATGATAAGCATCCAATATAGTTTTGTACTTGTAGAATAGATAATATTATAACTTTCGTATTGTATTCCTGGGAAAGTATGTAATATGTGTAAAACTTTGTAAAAATCTAAATAGTCGGTTTGTATCCAGTCTATGTAAATAAACTATCAATGTAAAATATTATT